CATACAATGATGTCAACAATATACTGCAGGTGTTCTGGAGCCCCACCTTTCTCCAGTGTAGTATGGACCAGTTCATGGCAAATAGTGGAGCTGCGGTTCCACCCCTGGGGCAATCGATTCCACGTGTACTGGATGCCTCTCCAAGTGAACGCAAACTGTGGCCTGCACTCTGGCGCTATTGGAATGGAGAAGAACGCGTTAGCAATGTCTATCGTGGCGTACCACTTGACTGCCTTCGACTCCAGTTCATACTGGAGCTCAAGCATGTCCGGCACTGCAGCATGCACTGCTGGCGTAACTTCATTCAGGCCACGGTAGTCCACAGTTAGCCTCCATTCACCATTAGGCTTTCTCACTGGCCATATAGGGCTGTTGAAGGGGGAGTGAGTTTTGCTGATTACCTTCTGGCTTTCTAGTTGACGGATCACCTGATCGATGGGGACCAGGGAATCTCGGTTGGTGCGGTACTGCCGCCAGTGCACCGTCCTGGTAGCAATCGGCACTCGCTGCTCCTCAACTTTAAGTCGCCCCACCACTGAGGGATCCTCTGAGAGGCCGGTAAGGTGGACAACTGTTCAGCCTCCTCTGGGCCAGCTACACCAAAAGCCCACCGGTACCCTTTTGGGTCTTTGAAGTACCCTCTCCTGAGATGGTCTATGCCCAGGATGCACGGGGCATCTGGGCCAGTCAGAATGGGGTGCTTATGCCTGTCCTTCCCAGTCAGGCTCACTTCAGCTTCCAATAAGGTCAGCTGTTGGGATCCCCCTGTCACTCCGGAGATGCAGATGGATTCAACCCCACTGTAGCTCGATGCATCAGGGTGCACTGTGCACCAGTGTCCACCAAAGTGTAGTACTCTTGTGGGTCTGACGTGCCAGGCCATCGGATCCACACTGTCCAGTAAATCCGATTATCCCTTTCCACCACCTGGCTGGAGGCAGGGCCCCTCTAATCCTGCTCAGCATCACTCACTTCTTGCAAGTACGATTTACTGGTCCCCTCAAGAGGGTCAGATATAACGTTCACCATTGTATTCTGCCTAGGGGATTTCTGACTGGACACTGGAGCTGGCCTTTTCTTGGAGGACTCCCCTTTCATGATGGTCTTCCCTTTCAGCTGCTCTACTCGTGCAGCTAGGGCAGCAGTGGGCTGTCCATCCCACCTCCTCATGTTTTCTCCATGGTCGCAGAGGAAAAACCACAGGGTGCCTCGTGGTGTGTGCCTTCTGCTGTCTTTCTCTTGAGTGGGGAAACGTTTACTTCTAATTGTTGAGACATTAGCCCGTGCAGGTGGAATGTAGGACATGTACTCTTCCATTTTCTGGACCCTCTGAGACAGTTCCTCCACAGCTGAGACCCAGGAATGCTGAGATGAAGGGAGATTTCCCTCATATTGCCGGAGCTTGCCAACCACTCCATCCACTGTTAGAGTGGGGGTGTCTGTCCACCAGGACACTATTGCCAATGCTTTCGAGTGTGCTTCTGGTGCACTCTCCAGGAACTTTTGCTTCATCAGCTGTGTGCAAGGAGCCTGATTTGGGTCCATGAGTGACTGCTCATTATTCAGATCACCATAGATCATCTCAAACACAGCCAGTTCCCTGAGATTTTGGATGCCTTTCTCAATGGTGGTCCATTTGACTAGCTGACATAGGATATCATCCTTGTAGGGGTGCCTCTCCCTTACACTGAACAGGAGTCGCTTCCAAAGGCTGAGGGTTTGAGTCTGCTTCCCTATTTCCCTATCAATGCCAGCATCCTTGGCCAAAGATCCCAGCTGCTTGGCCTCTCTCCCCTCCATCTCAAAAGCACTGGCTCCATTGTCCCAGCATCGGAGCAGCCAAGTGCAAATCCGCTCGCCTCCCAGGCGGCTGAAATCTCTCCGCATATCTCGCAGCTCAGTCCGAGACAGAGATCAGACGATCACCTCTGGCCCTTCCTCCTGTTCCCGTGATGGGCCTGGCTCATCCTCATCCCTCACTCTGCAAACTGACTTTCTGGTATATTTTGTTTTCTGTATTGGGGTGACTGACACTGGCTCTGCCTGGCTCTCTGGCTCAGTCTGTGTGCTGGTGGAGGCGACTGAGACTGGCTCTGCCTGTGCCCCCAGTTCAGATATTGTTTGTGTGGCCTTTTCTTCCCTTTTAGGGCAGCGGGTGGTATTAAAGAGGACACGGTAGGCATGGGCAAGTCCCGAACACATTGCAGCGAGTTGTGTCTCCTGGGTTTTGCCAGTTTGGTAACACACCCTTTCTAAGCACTCCATCAGCTTCTCAGGGCTTTGCATTTGCTCAGGAGTGAAATTCCAAAGCATTGGGGGTGCCCACCGACTCAGGCCTTTGCCCATCTTTTCCCACACCCCTTGCCACTCACTATTATCTGACCTCAGGGCAGGTTTCCAGACACTACTATTGTTAGAGAAATGCCGCATGGCCAAAATCGAAATCAGGCAGGCATTCAGAAGGCATTGTGCCACAATCACACCGGCCTGCAGGCTCCATGAATAATTAAAACTCCCCAAAGCCAAGAGGATCTCTTCCCCTGGCTCACCCACAGAGGGAGTGAGACCCCTAACTAAAGCCCAAACGGCAAACAGGTACCGGCCCACCCCCACACACAGTGATACAAAGGCAGCATACGCGTTCAATAGCCTGTATCCACAGGGATCATAAACTGGATATAAGGAGTAATCCAGCCCCACCACACAAACAAATGGGCCAGCATCACAAACATTTTCTTATCAAACAAATATAAAAAAAAAAAAAAATTACACCCAACAGATTGCTGTATCACACTCTGGTCAGGGTCTGCCCCACGCTGGTGCGCCAATTAATAATGTGCAGGTTTAAGCCTTGCATGGTACAGAGAGCATGTTGACATTGCCCCTCCCCCACCCGCGGCCGGTCAGGCTGGAAGTTAGACACAGACCCGAGCTAAAATAACGAGAAATGTAATACAACAGAGTGATAGAATAATCTGAACAACAGTAGCAATGATAACAACAATAAACAGCAATAACAGTGAACAAGACAAACGATATACAGAGAAATACCACTAGCTGGTTTACGGAAAAAAAATTCCCGCCACCGAGCCCGCCAAAGAGCCCGGTAAAAAGGTTCCGTCCCTGGACCTGACGCCAGCATGGTATTAATAAACCGGCTGGAGATCCCTTCCCCCTCTCTCTCTGCTGGGAAACCTAACCCTATCCTAGCTGAACCAGGACAACTGGTCAGTAGTTCCCAGGGCGTTTCTTTTCACTCTTTTTAAAAATGGGCATCCTTCTTGAAGATGAATCTGACTACTGAACATTAAGACTTCTTTGCAAGATAATCCCTTTCTTATAGGAATCACAACAGATACGCATAAATGTGTATGTGCCTGTAGTGGGACAGGTGGGATGGCAATAATCTTCACTTAGAAGCCATCCAAACTAAAGGGTCATTCATGCACACTTTTAAACTACATGCAGCACTAGTCACTAAATTAGTGACATTTTCCTTAGTATTTCTAGAGCCAAAAGTATCCACATCAATCAACTAACACTAAACAAACAGCCTATCTCTTTTCCTTGCCAATATTAATTATTCTGACCAAAGTGTTAAGCTACAGCCCTGCACATCTAGGACACTCCAAGAAAAAAAAAAAGACCCTCTAAGAAGTTTACAGCAACAGGGAGAACTCACCCTAAGACTCTGCAAAGAAAGCTACGATGACTTGGATCCAGTTCCATGTTACTGAGATTCGCTATTAGCAAAAGGAGAGAAGCTCATCATGGATGCTTTGCACCCCAACCCCTTTCCAGTAGGGTAGGATCTCTAATAGCATTTTGCAGTCACAAGCAAGTAGCATAAAAATTTCTCACATTTCCACCCTCAACAATTTTGTATTAATTTCTCAGATGAAAGATCCAATTGAAATTCAGCTGTTACCGGACAAAAATATAATCAAAGTGAACATATAAACCAGAAGCTGGTAGAAACTTCAGTCTGTTTCACCAGTGCTTGCACAAATACTGTCAGATAGAGCTTTCTGCTGAAATTTTCAGTAACATTGCCATATCCTGAACTCCACCAACAAGGCAAGTTTCCTCAATACAAATGCATTAAGTAAGGAAATCTTTTCAGAAAAAAAAATTTGGAGTAGATGGACCATAGGTCTCGCTATTGACATGTTGCTACCATAAATGTCATTTATTTTGCTGGACTCCTGGACATGGTTTAGTTATGCTAGAAGCTGTGATATTGAAAGTTAATTAATTTTTGACCTACAGTGATCATCTTGCTAAACTTTATGTTGTTGCCCACTTTAATGTGCATCCTCATCCAGTTAATGATTCAATAATTATAAATCAAGTGACAAGGACTTCAAGCTTCACAGTCACTTTACGACAACAATTTCTAATGTCCAAGATAAAATATTTTCCCTCATCCTCTGACTCAAATTTTTTCATGTAATTATCATATTAACTTGGTTACTTATACTGCACTTTGTATCATGCTTCCTAATAAAAGCTATGTTTATTTTTTCCACTTATTTTTTATTCTTTTCTCCAAATACACACACACACATGTGTATTTTTAATAAGCAACTTACCCTAAATTATTTCCCAACTTTATTTGAAGCATATTTTTATTTAAACTAGAAAATTCACTCCAATGTGCTATTCTTCCAAATAGCTCAGAAACAGTGTCATATGTATGATACCTCACAAATAGCAGATATGAAACCACGGAGATTTAACTAGGCTGGAAGTTCTACTTTAAGCTTACTCTTCCATATTATTTCTGCTCTTCTGCCTATTAGAAGTAGTACTGATCATTAAAAACCTTTATTCAGAGGCAGTGTGCCAGAGTAGGTTACAGTAAAGACTAATCTCAGTATCATTTCTCTGAACACTGCTCTCAACTGAATGGCTAATAAAACTAACCTAAAAAACTACCCGAACTGTGTTATAAACAATCTCTTTTTTGTATATATAACCTTCTTTTTTAGCTGATTTACCTTTTTCATACGCATCTGTATTCTCTTGCAGCAGTCTGCTAAGCTGGAACCCATTCAAGTGCACAAAACGTAGTTGTTCTCTCATTGTCGTGCCTCCCAGAACTGGCAATATAAGGTTCCCAACACTGTTTCTTGAAATTGGTAGACCAAGACCTACTGCCAGTGTGCTAGCTATATCAGTTTGTTGCACAAGTTCAGGTTGCGTTAGAGGACCTAGAATCAAAAAAAAAA